CCACCACTCCACCCCCCACTGCCCCACCCACTCCTCCAACCCACCACCTGCACGACCCCTCCGCCGCCTTCGGATCCGGGCCGCCGGCGCGGCTCGTCGGCCTGTATAAAGGCGGCGCGTCGGCCGGCGGCGGGCCCTGTTCCGCCCCCCGCGCCATGGCGACCGCTCGCGCTGTGCTGCTGCTGTGCCTCGCGGCCCTCGCCTCTGCCGCCCCGCGCCAGCCCACACCCGCGCCCGCGGCCTCCCTGTGGAAGGACACGCCCCTCGAGGACGTGGTGCGAGACCTCAAGGAGGAGTGCGCGCTCGACCCGCAGTCTCTGGCCTGCGTCAAGTACAAGCTGCTCAACTTCGTCGACCAGCTCATGACCAAGGACGACTTCCAGGTGAGTGCTACCCCTCCTCACAATTACGCATGTGTCAAAAATACTGGTGCCTTAACATGTTAAAACAAAATAAATATATGTCAATTTTGAACTATATTACTTGTAAATATATAGAATTATTACTTTATTAATCAATCATAGCTACTGTATTTGTATTATATTATCACGAAAATTTGAGTTTAATTTGTTTTTTGGCATTAAATACTAAACTACATTCAAAAACAAAATTAACCGAAAGATAATAAATCAACAAATTTTGCAATTATATGCCAGTTTTAGAGGATAAAAAATATGTAGTTACAATTCTTCAAGGTTAATTTCTAATGCTCTTTTAAGAAAACTTCACAGTTGTAAAGGTAGCAATCCACAGTCAATAATGCGCACATCTGTGTAAACTTAAGCATTACCATGAACATAACAAGTATACTCTGGGGATGGAACTGACAAATTGTGGTACGATTTGAATCAATTCAAATATTGTTATTAATTTAATAACAAAAATTTAATTAAAATATTTTTCATATTAAGAATTATAATTATAGTACAATTCTGTTACAAATGCATCATATTTACAAGAAAGTGTTCGTTACGTTCTAACAATGAATTGATTTTGGTACTAAGAAACAAGTTTTGTTTCTGGCAGAAGGCAGAGATATATTGCCACGTGATCGCATACCACTTTGTGGGTAAGGTTTGCGTCTCCGTTGTTCTCTACGCGTTCACCTAAGTGTTTGTTCGCCGTGTTGGGTTTTAGTGATTTTCACTAGCCATTAACTTTGTCAACTTTAACCACCAGCAGCGAAGAAGAACAGTTTGACATCACTTCTTCCATAAAAGATCGCATCACACACTTAATGCTGGTGACACACCAGAGGGTAGACTACTGTTGTAGAAATATCTGATAAGTATTATAAGATAGTGGGATTAATAGATAAGTGTAAAGAAACATGCTGATTGAAGACTTGAAACAAATTAAATGTACCCATTCCAACCCCGCCCATTAATAGATATTGGACCGTCTCGTCTGAGCAAATGGCTGCCCAAAATCCACTGAGGACGAAACTACATTTACTTAGGGAATGTAAATAAGGAAACTCAGCGCCAGCACCTTGCACTCAGCACTCGACGCGCATGCTAAGCAGTTAGGGAAAGACTGACAAACGGAAACGCCGAAGCAAGATGGCGGTTTCAAGAAGAGTACATAAATAAACTAAAAGGTTCCACACATGGAATATAAATTCAAAGGCTGCCCCTTACAGATACAAAAAAAAGTAATACAAGCAAAAACAAACAAATGATGATTAATCAAAACAGAACAATACATCAATAGAATGTAATATATTCTATCGATTATTTTAAAATTATAATGATATTATGGCAATACTTATCTTTATGAATCTGACACCCATTGAAAGAGGGCGATAAGGAAAATTCAAGTTGCAGCAATGTTATTCGTGGAAATGCAGAAATGTGTACAAAAGAAGATGAAGCAGAAAAATAATAGAAAAAATACAGAGCAAAACAAACAAATATAAGTCGTATTTAACCCTCGTAAATAATAACTAAAATACCACTTCTTAAACCTACATACATAAATGATCATACTCAGAGCGAAAATCGTGATTAGGCAGTTTCATTCCTTTCGTCTATGCGATTTCTGATATGCGGGACAGCTTTCTTTTACTATTATCATTATCTACATTAATAAGTTCCAACGAGTCTGCACACGCTCTAGTCACCTCGGCGATCCATCTGAGTGCGTCTATGATTTCGTTAAACACTCAAACCCACGAGAAAGTAAAAAGTCAATGGAACAGATTTGATTTTGACAGAAAAATACAAACTATCGCTATATAATGGTGTTATTCCACCTGTTTTTACATTGCTCGTTCCGGCTGATTTCTCATCGTCATTGCGGCATAGCTGACGTCATGCGATAGCTAGTTTCTGAAGAAGAAGATGACCTCCATTAAATATTTGCTACTCACGGCTTTTTTACGGAACAGCAACTTTTTGTTATATTCTTGATAAGTAAAGAACAGTTGTTCTGAACATACATTGTACTACATTATGGTGGAGATGGTTTTTCCTTCTTCCACTAATCAGAAATGTAACGAATCTACTTAATGGGAGAGGAGAAAAATATTAATTTGGTATTTATTCAGGGCTGATTATTTCATAGTGTACGCCATAGATCTGAATAAAGCTACATTTTGAAAATATTAAATTAAAACGCATTCAAATTCAATACAAAAAATAATATTCGTAATCAACTAACTTACACAATATTCTTTTAAACGAAAATTACTACGAAACTTCTAGATAAATTCACAGTTTTAAATAACAGTACCTATATATACGTCGTCTTCACGTTTCAAAACAACAAGTCCTTAATTCAGATCGAATTTCAAACAGACAATTCACAATATTCACTCTGTAAAATATTTTAGTTCATTCAATTTTGTACAATACGATCCTCAATTAATACAAAACATTTGTACATTATGCATTTTACATCAAATGTTCCAATTAATTACACGACTCTGATTAAAGCATTTCATTTGATCTCTGCACCAAAACAGCTTTGCCCAACTGTATGTCCTCACTCCAGAATGTTCAATTCATTTCTGACACTTGATTTTCGAGTTTGTTACATGGCATCAAACATTGTCAACCTGTAGGCCGTGTCTATACTTATATTTCTGTCTTGGAGTCACATTTGGACGAAATACGAATAACGCAGAATTACCACTAATTACACCACGATATTTTGGTATTCGTGAAGACTGTTCTTACTGAAATATATAATTTTTGCCGCGTTATAAGAGATATATTATTGGTTATTCTTAATTAGTGGGCGTGCTATACTTTTTGAAAACAATTTTGTATTGCTTTGTTTTGAAGCATTTGGTTTCTTGTTAGAGTTCATTATTATAACTATTATTATAACTATTATTATAACTATTATTATAACTATTATTATAACTATTATTATAACTATTTTTATTACTATTTTTATTACTATTATTGTTATTATTGTTATTAATATTATTATTACTCAAATGATTTATTCAAATAATTAACTTTCTCTAGCGACCGTTCTTAAAGGAACCCTGTGACATATGCGCTGCGATTTCTTTACAAGCCCATTATTGCCATAATTATTACAAGTGTCTGTTATCACTTTCATTATCCTGCAGGAAGTGAAATATCTTTATAACATTGTTAACGCTGTGTGTATCTGGTCCGCAGGTGTCGGACGCGGTGTCGCTGGTGCGCGCGCCGGCGGGCGAGGCGCGGGGCGCGGAGCCGGAGGGCGAGGGCGAGGGCGGGCTGCTGCGGCGCGCGGCCGCCTTCGTGAGCGCCCACGCGCTGCGCGTGCACCTGCCCGGCGGCGCCGCCCTCACCGCCTCCGCCGCGCGCCTCGACCGCGGCCTCGTCGACCTCGCGCTCGACCTCGGCGCCGCCCGACCCGCCGCCCAGGGCTCCGACGTCTCCGAAGGTAAGGCAGCCCTATGCACGTCTTTAAACCCTTTGATGAACCCCAGGCGGGGCAAGGTCGCGGGCAAGCTATCGAGCTTACTAGAGGTTCGTTGGCTTCCGGAGTCAATGCATTCTTGGCTCTCCGGGATGAGCCGCGTCTTGGTCAATTGTACTGACGTTTCGGCCCTCTTGCCGTGGCCTTCTTCAGAGCTATACTGCTGGAGCTATTCAGTAGTATAGCTCTGAAGAAGGCCACAGCAAGAAACGTCAGTACAATTGACCAAGACGCGGATAGCCAAGAATGTATCGAGCTTACTACAGCTCGCGGGCACCTATCCGGCTTTTGCGCCTCTTATCCGGCTTCGTCGAAAGATCAGACATGCATAAGACATGCAGTTTGTATAACATTATTAGCGAGAATTTTAAATGCAGGCAGAAACTAAAAAATCATCATATTACCCGTCATTAAAACATCTATATAAATATTTTTTACATATAGAATTTTTTTATTTTAACTTCAACTTTATCGTGTTATTTTTAGTTGGTCGCCGTTGAAAATTGTCACGTTACTGCCCTTTCAATATGTTTCCCTTTGGCACTGCTCGATTGCCACGCCGCAGCGGGGGTCAGCTACCTCTGGCCTGGCTTTTCAAACCAAGTGCCCGTGTTCGCCGTTGCCCCGACACATGCTTCGTGTCTTATCTGGTGCTGCACAGAACGAGCAAATATCGTAACAGCACACCCCATGTCCTTGCATCATGGTACATTTATTTCAAATTTCACTTGTGGTGTCTTGCCAGCGGCAAATGCAGCGGGAACGCTATCAATAAATGACAGATAACCTCAAGTCATGGCCTTCCTAACGACCTTTGAATGAACACGTACAGATTCGCAGCTGAGGTATAAAAGAAAATCGAATTCAAATAAAATTAATACGATTTACTAGAGTATTAGATGGGGAATTGTCACACTCTTTACATTTGTACTTAGGTGCCAATATTGCAAATATGAAACCCTGAAGCCATATAATTTAACTTTCCTCAATAATGATTAATTTCAATGCCAATTTTCAGTCTTATTCTATTGAATAAATCAACTCACATTTTGACATGATTATATATTATTGTGAAATGATAAAATTATATTGATATTTTTTCTTCAAAAGTATTATAATGTTAAAAAGAACAACGCAAATTTATTTTACATCTATTTGCAATGAAGATCGCGAAATGATCAAGAAGGCGATAAAGCCAAAATATCAGAAATCAAAATATTGCGAGAATATTTGAAAAAGAGAACATGCTTATGTTATAAACACAATGTTCGTTAATTGCTGAAAAACCTTAAGATAAATTAATCGGTGTTCAGAAGATTTGACAAGACCATGTTCAAAACATGGTGCGTAAATATTTACAATATTTTCACCAGCTAATCAGATTAATGAAACGAAACTTATTTATTCTTGTATACTACAAAGTTCAATAAGACCTGTATTGTAAAAATGTTATGTATTATTCATATCTACTGTGTGTGTATGTATACATGACAAACAAGATGCGTTTAAAAGCACCTTCCACATTATATTCAGGTTTTAATTACACGTAAGGTAATTGTAAGGCCGTTGTCTTCATTTAGGTGTGAAGCGAGTCAAATTGTTTATATTTGTCTTTGAGCTCTATAAATCTGTTTTCATGCTTAGTACTTGATATATATTCAAGGTGTCCTATATATTCGTACATCATGACTATCTAAGACTATCTAAATCTAGAATGTTAGTCGAATGACTCGTTAGGAGAGTAAATTCACGTAAACAAGAATCATATATAGTCGAAGTATACAAAAAGTGAGATACAAAATCGGTATTTTGCAGGCGAAAGTGTTAATTCGATCTCGGTTCATTTATTTTGATGCCAAAGTCAATGTGACTTTGCATACTGTTAATTTATTATATATGTTCTATAATTAATTTGTATACGGCTGTCATTTGAACCATCTTAAAGAAATTTTTGCAATTGAAAATGTACTATTTTTGAAACATAAGTATTCACTTTGTGCAATAACAGTCGTTTAATTCTATCTTATCTTATTACGTAAATCTTAATTTTTGCGTAAGAATAATTTAATTTTGATTTCACCACTTCGACTCACCCCCACAGCGCGGAGGCACAAGCTGAAGAAGATAATCATCCCGGTGCTGGTGCTGGTGCTGCTCAAGGCCATCACGCTGGTGCCGCTGTTCATCGGCGCGCTGGGGCTGAAGGCGTGGAACGCGCTGCAGCTCAGCTTCTTCTCCTTCGCCATCTCCGTGGGCATGGCCATCTTCCAGCTGTGCCGCAAGCTGGCGGCGGACTCGGCGCTGCCGCACGTGGTGCCGGCGCCGGTGGCGGCGCCCGCCGGCTGGGAGCCGCACTACGGGCGCGGCTTCGGCGCCGGCGCCGGCCCCGAGCTGGCCTTCCGAGCGCATGCGCCCGCCGACAAGCAACATGGCGACTGAGCGCCGCTGCCCTTCCCTTTCCTAAATGACGGTCTTTTGTTTTCGTCTCAGCCCCTTCGACTGTTTCTCCATTTCTCACGTGGACTCTGTTTGCGGTCAGATTTGACCCCACACGTTTTACCTGTTTTTTATTCAAGGAATTCATGTTTTTCATTTCATTCGTGGAATTATCAATTCAGAAAATGATGCTATTTATTTGTTTCGTTTATTATAGCTTTCTAAAAAACAAAGAATAGTAATTCCAGAAAAAAAACATTCTAGCATATTCTCATAAATATACATAGGTATCTTCCTTACCAGCATCAGAATGTCTCATAAAAAGCTACCAACGCGTAGTAATTAAATACGCCAGATTTTTATTACGAAACAACATAGTATTATAAAACGGAAATGGACACGTTCTTAGAATTTTTCATATAATTTAGATGTGTAACGTGGAATCTACTTGGAAGAATTTCTCACCCCATCCGCATAAAAATCAAATTACTTCAAACCAAGAAAGCTTAAAGAAGTTGAAAAGTTAGCAACACATAAAACTGAATATAAAATCATGTCTAAAAGGAGAAGTTCATGAGAATTATATTGGTTGTTGCAAAACATTATTTGCGCCTGGGGCCAGAAAAGACCCGAAGCAGAGTCTAAGGGTTAAACAGAAAGGATGGTGAATTTGTATTCTCAAAGTTTCAGATGCAGTAAGTCTGAAGTTTCAAGATTTGAACGGTTTTGTCAAACGTTTTTTGATTGCTTTTCCCGCGGGAACGACCATATTTGCTGCTAATATTATTCTATGAAATTCAGTATTGAAAAGTTTTATGTTTGAGAACATTAAAGTATAGCCATTTGAGAATATTGTGAATCGTCCCATCATGTTCGTTATTTATAAAAAGGCAACTCTCATCTAACTTTTTCGTTCATTTAAGCTAATATATAAAAATGTTAAATCTTCGAAAATCAATTTGCATGATTTGGATAATTTGGAAGACATGAATTCTAAATGGATAGAAAGGCAAGAAGGTCGTTTATACTAAGACGGGGGTAATTTACAATTTATAGAGATATCTCTTTGCCAGTAATGTTCTCAGGACCTCATATTGCACACAGACTGTGATTTCAAAATTTATAATGTACAGTATATACAAAATTGGATAATAGTCTCCATAGAAATATAGAAATTATTAATCCAGGAAAATCCAACAACGTTTGAACACAAATATACCTTATCGCATATTAATATATTAATTTGAACAATACAAATAAATCGTTCATATGTTGCTATCATGTACTCATTGTGAAAGACCAATGACAAAGAAGATTCACAATTTATAGTAAGATGGTACTATGATTCTTTTACATGACTCTTCAAGACAATACGAAATACACTGAGGCTAACCTCTAGTCTTCACAATACGCGAAACGAGTGACAAGTAATGAAATGTGATTTTGAATGTAACAGATGTAACTGGAAATGTTCCAAGCATCTGATCTGAAGCAGACATTTGTATTTTTAAAGACAATGCTGTTTTTATTTTGTAAATAATGTATTGAACAAATAAATATTTATTTATTTATTTTCTAGAATATAGAAATAAAAATATAGTTGTTTCTCATAATAGAACAAACAACTCTACTTGTATCGAATACTAGTCCCCGCCGAAACAAATTTTGTAGTGAACTTCAATACAATAGGTATTTCAGTTCTCAAAGAAACGCTTTTCTCAATACATTCCTAATCTTTTTGTAATGAATTTGTATGTGGAAGAATAATAAAGATATCCGCATTGAACGTTGTTTTCTTTGTAATTCCCTATATTCGAAAAACGTAATATTTGAGTAATCAACGTATGCCTTCACTGAGCAAAGCCAACTCTTGAATTGTCCTAAGTAGAAAAAAATAAAAGCATATGATCCAACGTCGTCTGTAACTTTTAAATAAAATGCTTTATTTGATGGTTTAGTCTGCTCCAAGTATAAGTTTTAAAAGCAGGACAATTGTTGATTATTATATGAAAGACCAAACGTGAAATAAGTATCATAACCACAGTACTACAAGGAACATTGAAATCGATCACCGAAAAGTCAACACCAATTACGTTACTCCTTGTCCACCACTCTTACAGTAACAATCGATAAGAGATTCATTTCAAATGATTTTTATAAAATTATGTCAATTACTTGTATCTGAAATGTCTGAAACAGTTCCCTAAAATTAGCTGCTTTTGAATTCATTAAAAAACAATCACACGTTTTTCATTCGCCTACATTTTCTTGTTCAACGCGTATCATCAATCTTAATCCCTGGGTTTAGTTTGTAGAATTCCACAGTGAAAAAACAACTCGAGTATAACATGGCATTTTAAAACTGTGGCCAGAAAGTGTAGAATAGACACTAATATAAGGCTCATTGTTGAAGCTTCCAGAAATTTAAAAGAGGCTAACAGATGATTTTTTGCTTTATCATATTGATATTTGCGAATAAAATTAATGTATAATAAAATTCAAACTAAAAATGATGTTGAGGATTGTGAATGCAATTATTGATAAAACATATCGTTTTAAAACTATTTTTAGATAAACTATAATGAAAGTTTCATTAGAACATGGATTATTTGTAGAGACGTAAACTTTGGCCAATATTCTCCGGACATAATGAAATCGATCTTAAATTAAAAATAATAATTTGAATAATTAATGTATTCGCTTATAGAACTAATATACACGCTTGTCGAATCTAAAAGAATATTCACCATATAGGTAGTTATTTTTCAATGATTTGTATTCTTCCTAAATGCCTTTTCACTGAGGAAATTTCGCTGTTAAAGGGAAAGCAATGGTTCCTGAAACGAGGTTTCTGCACAACTTTTCTGCAAAGTCTCTGGTTTTCATTGTGCTTTGGATCACTTCTATGACACACAACGCGAAGAGTGAAGTGACGATCCCCTCTTGGGTCACGTATGTCGACGTCATTGAAAGCAGCGTTCCTAGCGGAGACTTGGCTCTACTCTACGATTCAGAGGTGAGTTCCACGTTCAGGAAGGTTTCGAAAGGGTAGGAGTAAAAACTGCTCGAGAAGAAACTCGAGTTAGTGATTTTAAGCAGTCGATTACCAGCAATGGTGCTTGCTGTTTGAAGAATGTGGAAATATCGTATCATATGAGAAAGGACAATGACGCCAATTTATGTTTTATTTATATAAACCCGAAGGACCAAAATTATCCGTGGATCAAGAGTTTTTGATATTTCCATAAGCCTCTTCGACGACCCTCTGTTGCTAATTGTAGAGTAACATTAAATGTTAGCAAAATAATGAGTTCTAATGGTCTGCAGCAGTAAAAATGCTGCTGAATAAAAGCACAGACAATGGTTTAGCAAAAAGTAGCAAATACATTGCTGAAGAACAATTAATTCAACTTCTTCGCTCATTGAAAATTAGTATTACAGAAGGTTTTGTATTTTCCCCTAGTTTCTATATATCTAACAAGACGGTAGACATCTCTGAAAATACCATAGATTGTATAGATTTCTTTCAATTTATGTGTACATAGGAAATTAGCAAGATGTGTGTGAAATAAAATTGTGATATTGAATTGTGAATATATAGATCTGTTATAAAATTATACAAGGTCCAGACAATTTTTCTTTTTATAGTCTCTGTTTAGAAATTTGATCTCGCTTTACAGTTAGCAACAAACGAGTTGCAAATGAATGTATCCCATTGGAAGCGTGTGTTCACCGGAAAGGAGGCTTAGGGCATCAACTAATGTGTGTCTAACCGTGGGAGGTCCTAGGGTTCAAGTCCCGACGGTGGCAGGGTTTTCGACACTAGCTACATACGAGTAACTAGGTCAAATTCCGCCGTTGTCTGGAGGAGAATTCTAGCGGCCAGCTGCTCTGATCGGTAGTTTTTCGAGGTTTCTCCGGTCAACACCTGACGAATACCGGAGCAGTACCCTAAGAAACGGACTCCGACCCCGCGCGATCTTTCCTTCCTCTTTCGTATCCTATCTTCACCCCTTTTTCACAAGCACTACCCTATCGCACTTGTCGTGAGACCGGTCGGAAGCTTAGAGCTTTTCCTGGCTGGGGCGGTGGCCCGCTGGTGGGAGACACGCGGTTAGGGATCTTAGCCGACAAGTAGATCGACATCCACCGGGGAAAGAACACCGCCACATCCCGCGATAAAAAAAAACAACTTATTACACGTACGGTAGTGATGACCTTAGCCGCTGACACGGCCGGAATCACTAATCAATCTATCAATCCATCACGTGCTGTGTAGGGGCTGAGCAACGGCAGCGCGTGGGCGGAGGGCGTGGCGGCGGGCGTGCACGCGCGCGCGCGCTGGGCGGTGGCGCTGGCGGGGCCGCGCGTGGAGCCGGCGCAGGCCACGCCGCTGGTGGCGCTGGCGGCGGCGGGCGACGAGGCCGAGGCTGCTATGCCGCCCGTGCGCGCCCGGGCCCCGCCGCGCTGCGCTGCTGGCCGCCCGCCCGCCGACGCCCGCGCCGCCAACGCGTCACCTGCTGAGGCGGGCGTCTACTTGGCCGGCGTGTAGCTCCGCCCGCCCGCGCCCACAACGCAGGCGAGTGGGCGGCTTTTCGGCACCGACACTCCATTGTCACTCGCGTTCTCAAACTCCATTGTCACTCGTTCAAACTCCATTGTCCACCCGGTCAAAACTCCATTGTCACTTCGTTCAAACTCCATTGTGTCACTCGGTTCAAACCTCCATCGTCACTCGGTGCAAACTCCTCCGTCACTCGTTCAACGCCATTGTCACTCGTTCAAACTCACATTGTCACTCGTTCAAAACTCCATTGTCACCGTTCAAACTCCTCTCATCGGTCACTCGCACCGGTCAAACTCCATCGTCACTCGGTCAAACTCTCTCACTCGTCATCATTGCACTCGTTAACTACTTGTTCAAAACTCCATTCTCACTCGTTCAAACTCCATTCACTCGTTTCAAACTCCATTCTCACTCGTTCAAACTCCAT